CCCCCACCCCCAAATTCCATAAATAATTTCACGCACAATCACAGCCCTGGACTGGTTTCCGTTGATACTGAAATTTAGAAGCACAGCTTTTTGCAATGTCAACATTTCTGACATCTGCTGACATCAGCCTGTCACAATTGTCTTTTCTCTCCGCTCCCTTCCTGTCCTTCTCTCCACAGTTGTGTTAATTGGGGACTCGGGCGTAGGGAAGAGCAACCTGCTCTCTCGATTTACAAGAAATGAGTTCAACCTTGAGAGCAAGAGCACTATCGGGGTGGAGTTCGCCACGCGGAGCATTCAGGTGGACGGCAAGACGATAAAGGCTCAGATCTGGGATACAGCAGGACAGGAGCGCTACAGAGCCATCACCTCGGCGTGAGTCCATCTCTGTGTAGTTCACATAGTCCTGTCTGACACTTAACCCCCCTCAGCGTGGGGAAGTGTTTCTGCAGTGCATTCACAACTGACTATCGTTTAGTCTAGACCTTTCAGGGAGGTTGGTGGGTATGTTCTGCAGCAAATAAAAGATTTCAATGGTAAATTTGAATTTAAGTAGCATGGGCAGTGTTCTATGAGACTAGCTAATGGTTTAAGTTTTTTAAATTTATTTAGACATTGGGCCCCAGGAAAGCTTCTTCATGCCTTTATATTTGATAAACTGCAACCATGACAAATTGCCTATATGTTTTAGAAAGCACAGATTCACTTGAACTTTTCTAATCAGACAAAAAAATGAGTCTGTTTACAGTAAGAGTCATCTACATGATCTTCATCAGCAGGAGTTTTCTTACAATTTTCATTTTTTTCTGACCACTTGCTCAGACAAAACTGGAATTTTAAACAATTCCCTGCCAACTGGACAAACTCCACCTGCTGCTAAAGATCATGTGATGTGATCAAAAGCTCCCGAACAGCTACTAGATGGATCTTGTGGTGAGATTGTTCTATGGATGTGCAGACATCCTGAAGTTGTCTAACACTATAAATAAGTACAAATGTATTTGAATCACAGTTGTTACCACTGTGTCTTTGGTCTTGCTACAGATACTACAGAGGGGCAGTGGGGGCACTCTTAGTGTATGACATAGCCAAACACCTGACCTATGAGAATGTGGAGCGCTGGCTGAAGGAGCTGAGGGACCACGCCGACAACAACATTGTCATCATGCTGGTCGGCAACAAGAGCGACTTGCGCCACCTCAGGGCCGTGCCCACAGATGAGGCCCGGGCCTTTGCAGGTACAGGATCTTACAAAGAGACACAAGAAAAGCTAAATATTGGACTTCTATAGATTCTCTAGATGGTTTTAATTTGTAGGCATTTGTCTGTTGTGTGTATAGGGTTAGGGTTTTTAGGGATATTTGAAATGTGTACAGTATGTATTAGAACTCATCAAGCCAGTCACCTCTGCTGATGTAATATGGAAGTAGTTCCCGCCAACATGGTTTGAGGGTGTTCTAACCACATTTTGAGCGCTACACAGTTTGCAACTCAGCATTTGAGAGCATGCAGACACAGATTTGTAAATGCAAATAGAGATTTGAGAGTGTAATCCAGGCCATGTGTTCTTATTTCTGATTCTGCACTCTCAGATTGCTCCACTGGAGTTTGTGTGAAAGTCTGTCTGAACCAAAAGTTTTGGGAGGCACAAAAGAAGTTGCGAGCAATCTTCAGTTTGCAAATCAGACTTTGAGAACACAGGAACAGATTTGTAAGATCAGAAACAGATTTAAGAGCTAGGGAGGATCCTCACTGCTCGCCAAATCATCTGTCACACTCACGATTCTGTCCTCCCTCACTATCAAATCTGTTTCTGCCCTTACAAATCTGTGCCTGTGGGCTCTCAAAGTCTGATTTGCACACTGAAGAGCGCTCACAACTTGTTTTGTGTGCTTTCAAAACTTTTGCCGTGGAAAAACTTTGACACAAATCCCAGTGGAGAAATCTGAGAGCACAGGATCAGAGACAAGAGCACACGTGGCGGGGGTCTACTTTCATAATGTAACACTTGAGATTTCAAAGACCAGTTAGAGTTACCTTTTCTTTTTCACCGCATCATACATTATGATTAGAGGATCTCATAGAAACATAACTGAACTGTGTTTGTTTTTCTAAAAGTATATGTAAAACACAACACTGCTTCTCTTGTCATTTCTGATTTTGCTGAGTGCTTATATTAAGTTACTGTTGGTGTTGAATTTGTCTTTCCTTTCTTATCCCACAGAGAAGAACAATCTGTCATTCATAGAAACTTCAGCCTTGGACTCAACAAACGTTGAAGAAGCCTTTAAGAATATTCTTACAGGTATGCTGAATTTTAGTAATAAGACATGGAAACTTAACATCTTGGCACCAATAATTCCCGAACATTGTCTGATTACCTTATTAATACTGTGTATTTCTAAAATACACGGTATTAAACAGTATTGTCAAATACTATACAAAGTGCTTAACCTTTTGAGATATGAGAATTGAGAACATCTTAAAATCTGCTCAAAAAAGTTGCTGCTGACATTGAAAAAGAGCAGTTAACTGTTACAAACTGGTACATTTCTGGTAACTAAAGTCTTCCTCTTTACTAGTGCAATTTCCTCTTTGTGTGAGAAGTTATTTCTATTTGTCTTTTGGTTTTTAGAATCATTGTGGGGTTTCTTTAGTCATATGTACCGGTGTGCCAAGTAAAGCTTGATTTATGGTTCTACATTGGATTAACACAGAGCCTACGCTGTTGTGAGCATTTATACTTGTGTGCTGGTGTGTCTGCATCGCTCTGCAATTACACCATCAAAATGCTAGTCGGAGGTGGTGTGTGTGTGCCAGTACAAACCACTTATGGCGACTGAAACTGAATGAACCATGCTGGAGTTAAAACTAATAAATGTTGATCAGCAGTCGGACACATCAACTAGGTTGTTTCAGTTTTAGGTGCTTGAAGTTAATGTATGTATTGTAAGGTAGAAGTAGCATGAAACTCCAAATCAATCCACTCTGCTCCGCCCAGTGCTCCTTCTCCCTGCTCCACTGTGCTCTACTATGATCTGCTACTCTCCACCACCCTCTGCCCAGCTCCTCAGATACTTGCTATTGTGAAATCACAATAAAAGACAATGAAACAGAATTTAGAAATCTCTACACTTCTGCCAGTGCTGTTCGATGAGTTTGGGTCACCTCTCCACATTAAGACAAGTTTTTTTTTTTCTCCCACAAAACAGAAATCTACCGCATCGTCTCACAGAAACAGATTGCTGAGCGGTCTGCCCATGACGAGTCTCCAGGAAACAACGTAGTGGACATCAGCGTGCCACCAACCACGGACGGCCAGAGGGGGAGCAAACTGCAGTGCTGTCAGAACCTGTAACCCATGGCAACCATCTCTCCTCACTTAGGTTGACTATTAATTGAAATCCGCAGTGTTGGTTTGCTTCCATCTGCCTGGGGTGCAATAGTGTCGGAATCCGCACTTTTTAGATCAGCGGATTCACTTCTGTTATGCCACAAATGATCAGTCCCAGAAAGAAGTGTTTGAACTGATTTCAAATTGTAATCATACCCAGGTACAGTCTGCTACATTCTAGTGCTAAGACAGGACTGATGGTACCGCGTAAGTAGCTGCCACAGTTACCTATGATGGCATAGCAGAAAGGCCTTGCCTGACACCTTGTATGTATGCCTCAACATCTGTCGGGTAGGTGGTTACTGCCAGATGTTCCAGGCCTAAGAATAAGTCCTGCCTGTTTCAGGTGTACCAGCAGTCCTGTTTATAAGCTCCCCTCCTCCTCCTTCAGTCATCATCTCAAAAGTGGTCGTGACGCTGCTGATGCTTATTTCATTTTGTGTAAAATATATTTTGTTTCTTTTGATAGCTTGTCTGCTCACATACATTATATTAATGCCATGAAATAAAATTTTACAATATTATGTTTGGGTCATCTTTGTTCAGCAGCACATGACACAGAATGACAGAATACAGCACCTGTAGTTAAACCTAAAAATACCTTTTCATATATTACCTTATGAGATTGTTGATGTATCCATAGTCTAAGCAGCATCTATTGAGCTAGTTTCAACTACTTTAAATACAGTTAGGTAGTCTAGTAGAGTGGTTCCCAACCTAAGGGTTGGACCATAAAATTATTAATTGGGCAATAAAGATTTAAATTTAGAAAGACTTTAGGGGGTGATTTCTCTAATTTTTTGTGAAATGGTGTAAAATGATCACAAACATTTACGCAAATGGAACAGACATTAAGAGGAGAAATCATTATACAACTAAAATGTGACAAAGGCCTCCAAAGGTACCAAACTAGATAGTGTATTTTTGTACGAGTCACAAACCCAGACGTTTGAGTGCCACTCGTCTGAGCTTCAACACTGCCATGTATCTTATCCAATGGTTATCCAATGAAATGAATGACATCTTCATCTGTAAATTAACCAGCAAGTAGCAGAACAAACAGCACAATATTCTAAATGTGGTGGTATAGACATACAGTATAAAGTAGCATCAGTTTGATACACTGACAAACCTCCAGACTGAACTTGAAGTACTTGAGTAAATGTACAGTTAAATATTAGATATACTTCCAAAGACAAAAATGGAGGTCCCAACAAACACACATAAACAGACAAGTAAAGAGTCCAGGAGTCCCTCATGTTTTATTGCACAATAACCCAACTTTCCAGGGGATGCAGCAGGAAGACTACAACACAAAATACTTTAGCATATGCCGCACACATTGATTGACATCTCAAAACACTTTTACTGAGTACCAGCTTGCCCCGATAGGTTTCTGTGTTTTATATAGGACAAAAGTCTGTAATCTCACTATTCAAAACACTGTTTCTCTTCTATTTATAATTGCGTTTCTTGTGATGTAGGACATTACCGATGGTCATTGCTCGGCAGCTCAGAGAATGAATGGTGCATTTACAAGTGGAGCAGGGCTGTTTGCTAATGCACTTGTATGAGAATAGGCAGAAACATCATTTAATTAGAATGTAAGCACTTTTCCATAACTTCAGTACTACTTCTTTTTATCACTGTGCTGCCATTTGACAGAAGCAGTTCACTAGCAGTGACCCCACCCTCAGGAAAAGATGTATGTTGAATGGATGCTTTAATATGGTGTAATTCTTGTGGACTGCAGTTTGAGGGGAAGGCTTCAGAGGACTGAGCTGCTCAAGGCACTACTAGACCCCCAAAACCTTCTAAGAGATGAGAATGGATTGGATCCTTCTGATGTATTATGGACCCCAAAACCCACTGGAGAGGCAGCCTCAGTGAACAGATTGTCATTTGGAACAAGGGAGACTGCTGTTGTGCAGTGGAGACCACCAGAAGAACGGAGAAGGAAGCAGGCAGAGCCAAAGTGCTGATAAGGTGATGCTGGGGAAGCCCATGAGACCACTCGGTGGAGCCAGAGGGGCCTGTGAAGTGGGAGGTGGCAACGATTAAACAAGCCACGGTGAGTAGCCACATGTACATCATTTGACCTGTCTTATGGGAAGCAAAAGCCTAATTTGAACAGGTGGTTTAAATGCAATAAGGAAAGGAAAAGGTGCGTGTTTAGGTGTGATCCCATTCCTGAACTTTAGATTAAAATTTCCATTCGTGAGCCCACATACTACAATCTTCACAGACCCTGTGACAAATGCGATGTCAGCTGTTCTCTACACAGAAAAATGATTTGGGTTTTACTGTTTAGACAGCAATGATAAAGGTTTACCTGGAAACTTTTAAAGGGTTCAGATTTTCAACTAGGACACTGGTATGAATGACCGTCACCCTCTACTTGTCAAGAAAGAATATTCACAGATAGACTTTGTCAATCATGTTTTTAGATTCTTATCCTACGCTGGGCTATTGGCCGCCCATTGTTCAAAAACAGCTAAATACATTGTGAAGGGGCATGGGGGAATTATAGGTAGTGTGAATATGTTTCATATTATATTGTAGTAGCATGCTGAGTCTGTTATATCCTGCTACATTAGCTTGCGTCTTAGTAATTTTTTCAGTTAGTGTCATGGACACACTTGGGCTGGTTAGTCCACGTTTTCAGTCGTTCACAATCCAGCACTGGCTGTCCGGTGACAACTCTGCGTCTCAACAACAACTATGACTCCGGAATGAGTTCTTCCCAAAACTTTGTGGTCAGCCAGTACCGTAGTAGTTTACAACAAGTGCTTCAATAAAACAAAACAGGGGGAAGAAGGCAGCTCTCCCCTCTCAGAATGGTCCATACGAAGTGCAAAAGTTCATTAATACGATTAATCTTGTTTTTAGAGAGTGCTTCAGCCGGCGTCGTTTTAAATATTCCTCTTGCCAACACGCTGCACTCATACAATGGTCTCATCAGTCATTTTCTTGGTTGACTTGGTCGGCACCGAACGTTGGGTGGTGTGTGCCCCTTTCATGTCAGGCATGAGCAGGCGCACTTTCTGATTGGTCCGCCTCCACTCCGAGTACAGCTGACAGTGATACCGAAATGACACCTGAGAGTGAATGAAAGAGGAGTGGGGAGGAGGCAAGATGGTAGGTGACAAGGAAGGAAAAAACAGACAATCAATAAAACTGACACCAGGATATTTAAGACAGAGGAGTACAGATGCAAGATGGGAATAATATGCTGAAGGCTGCAAGTGCTGCATGACAGGGGCTCACAAGCTGTATGCAGAAAGACTAATCTCTTGATATGTCTTTTTTTTTTTCTTAATTCTGCTCAACACTTAAAGAAATCAGTTTCTGACAAAGGTTTCAGATTCGTTTTTAAAGTATACAGATAAGATAAAGTGCAGAGTAAGAGCACCTCATTCTTACCATTCTCAGTCAGTCCTGCATGTGCGCACATGCAGGACTGACTGAGCCACTTTCAAATAAATGAATGCTATGCACCAGATAATATTAAGGTGCACAAGCCCTCACATCTCTCCATGCCTTTCCTTCAAGTGTCATTCAAAGCCATACTGGGACCGGAAACAGTAACAACATTTCTACAATAACTGGAGACTGAGTATAAACCTGCGGGGTTGATGGTCTTTGTAATGTGTATAAGTATGTATATAATGATTGTTTTCCACATCTATGTGGGAAAAAGATATTAAAACACACAAAATACTAGGGCCAGTATGTGGCTGTGAAAGTGCTTGAGAGAGAGAAACCATTCACTCTCTACCTGCAACTTAGCAAAAGTACAGAAATGTGTCTGCTTTTCAAAGTTATACTTAATAATGTAATGATGCATTAGTTACCAGTGTCCAGAGGATGTAAATGGTGAAGAGGGCGATGGTAAGGGCGATGAGGCCGACAGCCTCAAGCCTGCTCTTCAGTTGCAAGTGGTCCTGGGCTCCTCTCAGACACAGCCAGCCAGAGATGGCGGCCAGGGGCGTGATGAGAAGGAAGCAGGCCATGTCGCACAGCAGCGTGCGTTTCTCACTACGAGGGCCTGGGTCCTTCAGCCACTGAGCAGGAGAGAAGCGAGGCATCTTAGTTCACAATTACAACAGAATTCTGCCAAGTAAAGAGGCATTGTTAAGATGTGAGTTTCCTGCATAACAAACATAAAAATACTTCAAATAGCGTTTGAGGCCAAAAAGTAAAATAGGCTTCTTTGCTTTATACAAACTGCATAGCTCATTTCCATCTTTTTGTACAATCAAATGAGAAGGAATGCATCACTACAATAAAAGCTCTCTAACCTGTGTGAGTGGTTGTGGTCGCCGTTCAATAGTAAACTCTGTGTGACAGAGCTCACAGTAGCTGGTGTTGGAGGAGGACAGCCACTTCTCCAAGCAGCTCTTGTGCACTTTACCCAGTGTACCAGTGCAGTCACAGGGAGAGAGCAATGTCTCCCCTCCAGCCCCCTCATGGCAAATCCGACACATACCCACATCACTGTACAGAAAAGCAGTGAAAATGGAGTGGTGAGCAAAGAAACAATGTAATTATATTATATTGATTAAGATCCCCTGTGAGTTCCTCCCGTTCTTACCTCTGTAAGCTCACTGCTTTGACAACAGTGGAGAGTGGGCGGCCATCTTTAGCTGTAACCTTGGCAACATATTGGGCCTGTGTGGTAGAATCAGACTCCTCTGAATCTTTGGAAGCATCAGATTCAGCGTTCCCCGAGTAATCACAAAGGGAGCCAGGTAGGTGGCAGCACCCTGGTGAAGACATAGCTCAGCTGAGGGTGACAGTGACGACGATGATGGTGGAGGCAATTTCAAAGGAAGCTCTCCTACTCCTCTCCTCCTCTGTCCACCTACACAGCAAATGCCTGGCAGACAATAAAGAGGAGATAAACAGGAGACAAAGTAGGGGTGACGTAGAATGACTACACAAGTCATAAGATTCTATGTCTCAGTGATGCCATGTTGATATAGGAGAAGGTGGCAGCCTACTGGCTAAGTAAGCTCCAGCTCCAAAACTCACAAATATGCAGAAAATATGTGTGCTGGAAATAAACAAGACATACAACCTCCAACAAGTCCTGGAGCAAATTCCAACATTACCAAATGAGTCCATCAGTACAAGGATGTATTGCGAGACTAATCCTTGAGCACCACATGCCAAATATGCCATGCTACACTACAGGGAACTGTGACATAACATATGCAAGTTTGAAACTGTAATGATTTGTATTTTATGTTTGAGCTCCTCAACTTCATACAAGTCATTAATATGCTACTATAAATAAGGGCGATATAGCCTCCATGCTACAGAACTCAGCAGACTGCTGTGCAGATGAAAAAATATGTTTTGGGTAGACCTGAAAGGAACATGGTGTGTACATCTACTAGTTATTGCAACCTGCCCTCCAGACTGACACAGTCATCCATATAGTCTTGAAAACGTTCCTTGAAAAATAAGCATTTTAATAAGACATAGATGTAAAAACATACGTGTATTCAAAGCCCCGGGAGATCAGGTACAATAAACCGCTGCTATTTGATGTATTTGTTTAAAATCAGGTAACGCCAGAGTAATATTCGTCAGAAAACAAAACCTGGAACAGATGATCGATGGTTAACGGTTCGCCGTTAACTTTGGCCGATGGGTAGCTACATGGCCGATATAGGGTCGTTAATGTGCAAAAACCGACAAAGGCTAAACTGCTCTCACAACACAACCACGTAAAGTAGTTGAACGGCCGGTAACCAGCAAGCTCATATGTTTCGTCGGTTTAAGGTTGAGCTTGTAAACAAGGCGAAAAAAATCAGACATAGGCGTAAATTCACTCACCCGACGGCCTCTCCTTTATGCCTTGGCCTTGGCCTTGGCCCTGCGTTAACCAGACACAGGCTTGAGCTAATTGGAAAGCCCTAGCTACAAATTATGATACTGGCATTTAACCAAAAGCTGGCCATACAAGGGGTTACAAAAGACGACCACATTCGTTGTATCGTCTCCATGGCTGCTAGTATATCTCTCTTGGGTAATCCTGTTGGAAAAGATGAAATAAAACGTCTGTTTCTGCAAAAAAATTACTAGACACCGCTAACTGGCTAGCAGTGAGCAAGCCTACCTCGGCACCCCTCAGCTGTGCGCTGATCATGTGACACAAGGCTGCCTTCACGGTCATTACTAAAATTGCAGTTCTCGGAATATCACACACCCGAAACTTATCAAAATAGCAATTACTACTAGTATGCTTGCAGTCTTCACAGCACTACGTGTTATATGTACATGTTACATCTTCCCAACGCTTTAATTTCTATGACATAAATATCGCTTCCGACCTTTTCACGTGCAGTTTACGATGAGCCTTGAATGCAGCGCACAGTACAAACAATACCAACTAAACAAGCTATAATGCATCTTTGCACTATGTGATGGTCCATCACAGATGTCTCCGACACCAGAGCAGTTGGCTGTGCTTCTGGACACTGTTGACACAGGACTTTACTTTGGCACAACACAGTTCTAAGCAACATTTATGGATGTAACTACGTATTGTAGTGCCTGACACAGGCGTGCCAAAGTAATCCTGAGCCCATGTGGTTATATCGCCTATGGAAGAGTCACGATTCTTGATGCAGTGCTGTCTGAGGAATCGGAGAGCACGGTCGTCCAGCTTAGGTTTGCGCCCTTGCCCTTTACGCACTGAAATCTCCAGATTCCTTGAATCTTTTAATTGCATCATGCACTGTAAATGGTGACATACAGAAGAGTATTAGGGCCACTGCATAATTTTTTTTTTTATTCTGACTTTATTCTCAGAATTCTGACTTTATTCTCAGAATTCAGTCAGAATTCTGAGAATAAAGTCAGAATTAAAAAAAAAATTATGCAGTGGCCCTAATACTCTTCCGTATGTCACCATTTACCACATCCAAATCCCTTCCTAGCTTTCATTGAGGAACATCACATCAAATAATGTGCTGCTGTATTGCTTTCAATGTATTAAAGGACATAGATGATTTACAAATCACTATTCTCAGTTTTAATTTCGATTTTCAGCTTTTTCTGATTTGGGGTTGTAGATGGATTTATGACACAGTGAGCCCATGAGCAAAGAAATGTAAAATCCCAGCCACCCCTCCTACATAGCAGGAATTGAAATCAGGACATAAGGACAGGGAAGGGAACATTTCTTACTGATGGTGGCGCTGTCCGTTGCTGCCTAGCCACCAGGGCCATCTAGGGTTTCAGTGTCTTCCCCATGGACACTTTGATATGTGGACTTGGAAGACTGGGAATCTAAGTCTTTTGAGTGGGAGGCAGTTGCTTTACCTCATGCTCCACAGCCACATGTAGACACGATGTTCCTTTGTAGCTGTTACGTGGTTTAATTCCACCTTTGTTGGATTATGTTGCATCTGTGTATTATATTTTGTCTGACTGACTGCAGTGGTCTAGAGCTCTGACCTTCTGGGTCCCTTGACTTGTGCCTGTAATTCATCCATGGGATTCTGTGGGTCTCATTTATATGAAAATCGCTTTCATGAAATATTACATCAACTACTTTTCAATGCCTATATGCTGACTTGCATGAGGAATAGTACTAAAAAAGATAAACCATCCATCCATCTTCCTCCGCTTACCTGGATATCGTGGGGGCAGCAGTCTAAGCAGAGATACCCAGACTTTCCTCTCCCTAGACACTTCCTCCAGCTCCTCCGGGGGGATACCGAGACGTTCCCTAAACCATGCTGCAAATATTAATTAAGGAGGATAATCACCTTTATTTGGCAAGCACGTTACACACAAGGAATTTGTTTCCGGTACAGAACTGAGGCAGCCAATTAATGAATAATGCTCGGACTTTGACTTGTCCCTGCTACTTTTGCTCACCACTTCTATCATTGTAATTATTAAAGGTACTTCACTGCATGTGACTGTGAGCTTGAATTTAGGCCACAGAGCAAGGTCAATGACTTTATTGCTGTGGTTTTATTATTATTATTACCAAAACAAACTCAATGACTTGAACACCTGGAAAGGGAAACATTTCAAAAAGTCCTTTTGCCCTAGATCTCAACCAGTGCAGTGGACAGACAGAGATCTCTTGGTCAACCCATACTCATGCTTTCATTGTGAACCAAAAGTATGTATTTTGTTATACAAATACTATTCCAGTTAAATTCTGCATTATGCAGAAACAGTCAAGACCATAAGAGGCTACTTGAGACCTTTAAAGTACCTGCTCATGAATTCTAAAATGACCCTTTAGCAGTGGCGGGAAGTCTACTGTAAGTATATTTACTCAAGTACTGTACTTAAGTACATTTTTGAGGTATATTTACTTTCTTCGAGCATTTTCATTTTGTGCTATTTCATACTTTGACTTCACTACATTTTAGAGGCAAATATTGTACTCACAAGCTACCCGGCAGTAATTCAAATTATAAGCATATAAGCTAGTTACAGCTAGCTCCTCCTTTACCAGCTACACCATTAAAGCTATATACTGCAGCCTAGCATGATAGTCCAAATCGATCTACTCCCTGCACCACTATGCTCTACTACAATCTGCTTACACCCTGCTCAGCTCTTCAGATATTTGTCATTGTGAAATCACAGTAAAAGAAAATGCAACAAAAATGCTGATCAAGCAGAAATAACTGAAAATCTCCAAGTGGTTAGAGAGGTCAGTCCTTCTCAAAACCTTTTAGAAGCTAATATCTCTGCACTGCTGCCAGTGCTGTTCAATGAGTCTGGGTCACAGGAGGCTTCAACAGCACCTCTCCACATTAAGACAAGTTTTGGAGCAGATTTCTACAACAAAAATATTTGAAAACATTACATACTGTAGTTTTAAATGTGATGTACACAATAATGCATCAGCATTTATGTTCCAATAATATACATTAATGTAAAATGCGCCATTCTGCATAATGAGTGTTTTGATGCCAGTACCTCTGTACTTAAGTAACACTTTGAATGCAGATCTTTTACCTGTAACAGAATATTTTTACACTGTTGACTTGCTACTGTTAATAAGGGATGCGGGTTCTTTTTCCACCACTGCCCTTTATTAGAACCTGAAATAGTAACTTCCCCATTTAAATTTTAACCACTGGTAAACTATCTTTATCACATCACCTCACATTACCCCGTCCTGCTATCGCTTCCTTTTCAGTCCCTTTGAACCCAAACATTGATACAGAAGGGATCCACTCACTGGGAGTGTGATCTGTGCACACTGCTGAGAAAAAGGGTCAGCATACACCTAAGAGCATGTCTCTCATTAGATATCCGACCTTGTGTTTGGTCAAAGTCCAACAGAAATAGGACCCACCAGTCCTACCTGTTCTGTCCAAACATGTGGGATATTATTAGACCTCATAGTAGACTTTGACACACACAAATACAGACACACTGTTTACTTACACATCACACATTTTGGATGTTTAGATATTTAAATTTACACATTTAAAAATTTAAGAAAATAACATAACGTAGTTCTGAAAAGCGTTTGCTTTAAAATTCAGGTGATGTGTTTGCGTTGGTTTGTTTTGGTAATTCATGATGTATTGCTGCTGTCATAAAGGAAACCATTTTTAAGGCTAATAGGTAAGGTCTGAAAGAGATTCAGTAAACTGTGATTATGTGTTTGTCCCAATATTAGTTCTCATTGTTTAACTTCAGTCAATGTGTAGAGTTCCAGCATGCTGCTGCAGGCATTTTTCCTTATCACAATGCCTGGACATCACCTGACTCAGCTTTTGGACAAGTTTGCTTCTGTGTTAGTAAATGTGCTGTATATATACCTTTAGTTCATGTTGCACTACTTGTCCCTCCCTTCATCTGCTAGGTCGAGCACAAAAACACGCATGTTCAGTGTTTTTGTCAGATGTGCAAATGCAGTGCAAGTTAGTTTCATGCACAAATGAAGATGTAGTCTGGCACACATGGTAGGTCTATAATACAAACACTGTATTCCTATATATTTTATCTTGGGCACAACAGAGAGAAAAGGGAAGACACTGAGACAGCTAAAACAAATATAGACAGACAGAAGCATTTTGCTTTCAATAACAGTATAATTTATTTACTGCAGCTTTATCTTGTGAGTCTTGAAACTGTCAGCAGGGGTGCACCTAAATACAAGGGCAAGGCAGTAATTTGGTTTCTCTTATTTTCTGATGCATTCTTGTTCTTCTGAGAAGGACCCATGTTGCCTTTCTCCCAAGTGTCCAATAGGTGCTTCTGAATAAAAGCACATTTTTTGATGATTTTGTCCATCAACTAGTGATCATATTGTGACTGTTGTACTTCAACTAAAGTGGACAGTTTTTCAAAACTCTGTCATTATAAAGTAAAACAGTTACTGTAGTTATATTTTTAAAATATATCAGGTAGCATAGTTCTAAAATTAAAATGATGTACATACAGTATGCCATCATTGTTTATCTGACACCAGTCCTTCAGTGTCCATCCTATATCTGTGTATCATCAGACCTGTCTCATGCAGGACATGACGTTATTGATTTTGACATTACAAATGTGAAAAGTGGAAGCACATGGTTACAAAATGGCGTGGATTTGTTCAACTCCACTATTGAATCACCAAGGGACTATTCTGATTGCTGTCAGCTGATTTTGAAGCAGCTTTCAGGGGGAAAAGAATTCAACTGCTTCCTCCCTGCCATGAGTGCACTTACAACATAAAGCCTGAATGCTGGTGTGGCACGACAGCTGGACTGGATGTCTTGGATTTTACCTGGCAAAACAAGGTACTTCACTACATAGATGCCAAAATCCAGTCTTGTCATTGTTATATTGTTATGCAGTATTCACAATTGAGATATTAAAAAGGTACAGATGTGTGACAAATTAAAGCACAAACCAACATATGGTGTCTCAGTATGATGCTGTGCCACCACATGCCATCAGAATAGCTTCAGTGCACCTTGGTCTTGTTTCTCCAAGTCTATGTATTTTATTGGAGAAATAAACACCATTCTTCCAACAGATACTCCCTCATTTGGTGTTTTCACGATGGTGGTGAAGATGCTGTCTGTCACCTTGCTCTAACATCTCCCATAGGTGTTCAACTGGGTTGAGATCTGGTGACTCTGAAGGCCATAGTATATGCTTCACATTCATTTTCCTACTCATTAAGCCATTCAGTGACACATCATGATCTTTGGATGGGGGCACTGTCATCCTGGAAAAGACCATTCATTTATTCAGGGGTTTCCTTTAATTTGTCACCCATCTGTAGTTTAGTATGAGCAGTAAAGGAAAATCTGTGATTGCTGATTGTTGTTGGCAAATAGCTACTATCTGCCTTGTTACTAAGGCACAATGCAGGAAGATTACAACCTTTTTTTACAGCTTGTGCCTAAACTTGATATTGATTGAATCAACGTTGAACATGTGAACGGGGCATGAGCAGGGCGGCTACATCGTGACGTCATATTTACTGACCAATCGCAGCGTCTGTTTTCCTGGCTACAGTACAGCAAGAAGCTGTGCCTCTTTCCGTCTGGCTGCACGAGTACAAGATTAGAAAATCGAGACAAACCCGTTGACTTCAACTGATATTATTCTGCTAGCACATCGCCTCGTCTGCTCACCAGTGGTTTAGTCGGAGGTAAGAAGCTAGCTGGTCCAAAGAGGGACCTGAGGAAGCGGAGAGAGATAGAGGGGGCTTGTCGGCCGCCTACAGTGTGAACCTTCAGAGACTCGCCCCGCCGCTGCTTCATCACAGACGTCTTTTGTCCGTCGACGTGCTCATCCTCACGGGAGCAGAAAACGACGGCGAAGGACGGGACTCGAGCCCGTGTTTGACCCGCTGCCGCAGCCCCCTGTGCGCTGCTTGGCAGAGCATGTTAAATAATGAGCCAAAGGGACACACTGGTTCATTTGTTCGCTGGAGGGTAAGTCGGACTACGCATTTAATTTAGATACCGGGTTTGCTTTTGACATTTCAAACCACCTCATTGAGATGTGAACCGTGTTCTGGCTTATCAAGCTAGCATTAGTTAAGCAGGGCCATTTTCTATGCAGTACATGCATGTGTTAACGTTACAACCCCGGTAGTCACGCCAATGTCAAAAAACGAAACTTCCTCTCACCACTTCAAAATATGTCCATTTGTTCTAGAAGAAAAAATAAAACACAAATGTGGAATACAGGGCGCTCCTGAGCTTAAATGTGACCGTGAGGATTTTTGTCCTTTTATTACTGTGTATATTGACTTCAGCTAGGCTGTCAGTGTTTTACACTTAACCTTTATATTTAAAGTAATAGAGGAATACATTTCCCGGCTCGCTGCTGATTTACCTCGATAACGTTGACTTGACAAAGTTCAGCTGGGGCCACACCAGCACTGCTCATTTCCTATAACATTACAGATGTGACATTTTAAAACCCGGAGAGATTAGTTGGATCACTTCAGTGCCGATTATAGGTCTACGTTTGTGGTTATTTTTAATGCAGGCTATTGTTTTATATCAGAGTAAAATGGACTTGTTCTACTTGTTCTGATGATTTTAAGAAAACTGCTAGATGAGGTCACAAAACGGGGACAGTGAAGTGGGACTGCTGTAGGTTAAACTCGCAGCTCAGGCCTAACAACCTGAGCGGTATCGATCCAGTACATATGTCTGTTTTTAATCCATTGGCTGCAGCTTCTCAGCGACTGTTACCGATTCTCTCGTCTCTGCACCAATCCATTGACATTCAAACAAAGGTCACCACCATACCGCATCTGTTCCGTTATCTCCCTTGTCGGGTATTTAAACTAGGACAACAACTCAAAATGCTTTGCTAGACTGAATAAGTAAAATGTGGTTTACGTTCCCCAAACTTGAACTGGAGGCCTCAGTACGGTGCTTCCTCTCCAGCTCACTGAGCTAAGCAGCAGCAGCAGCAGCTAGCAGAGCCCAGAAAGTAGGCCAAGGGTCACAACAACCTCCGAGCATGAATGTGGGTTGGTCTTTTGAAACATAAATATAGCCAATGCTATGCTAGAAAGACTGTAGCAAGACGAATTTACCACCAACAGCGAGAGTGTCAGCATAAACTCTATATCTACAACTATATACAGAGCATGTGTATGAGTTTTCACCAAGACAGACAGCAAGTACTTTCCAGCTTTGTGGCGGTTTGATTGCAAAGGTTTGCCTATAGAAATCCTGTTGTGGAAAGCAGAGGGGATAATCTACTGTGTTTTGAGATGACCTCTAGTATCAGTGGGCTTATGTAAAAAAAAAAAAAAAAAAAATAGTGTAGTAGTTTATACCACATTAATGAAATGCTGTAGATGATTCAGGGATGTTTGACTGAGATCTCTGGATTATGTGTTTAGACCATGTGGGTGCAATTAGAATTTGATAAGCTTCAGTTTGTTTATATGCTGGCATCAGGGAAGTTGAGGTCAATGTCCAAGCAATGTGATCATGAGTTTTTTCTCTTAATTTGTTTGTCTATATAGTGTATGTGAGTTCAGTGAGCAGGATAGACAATCAAATTTTCACGACACCTCATTCTCCACTTTTCAGATGGCGAAAGTCAGCATAGTGGTTACAGTTACCCTAAGCCATATGAACGGCATCATTAAACCACTCAAACACTCAAAGTATCGTGCATATTTCAGTGCCAGGTCATGGTGTGTGGCTGTGAGCTAAAAGGATTAACCCATTGTGTAACAAGAGACTGTAGAGCTCAGCATTTCAGGGTGGTCTAAAGGAAAACTAGCAGAGGAAATAGGTACAATATAAATGGGACTGACCCAGATGTAATAATAATTTTAAGATACTCAGACACTTTCCCTGATGATTTAAATGGGGGGGGGGGATAACCTAGAAGATTAAAACACAATACATAGCCTGTATAGGATATATGCTATTTTTGTAGTTCTTTGCATACTGCTATTTTGATTCATCCATTCTCTGTTGTGTCCACTACAATGCATTATGCGTTCCACCTTTCTGTCCCTTCTGCCATCCTCTTTGTTTCTGTACTAATTCTCCACCCCTTCCCTGTTGCCTTCCTAGATGTGGAGGTACAGTGGGTGCTATTTTGACTTGTCCTCTGGAGGTTGTGAAAACCAGACTGCAGTCCTCATCCATCACTCTCTACATCTCTGAAGTCCAACTCAGCACCGTCAACGGAGGCAGTGTGGCCCGTGTTGCTCCACCAGGGCCTCTGCACTGTCTCAGGTAAGGAGAATGTTGCTAAATGTAAATTATAGGCATAATTTGGATGACTGTCAGGGTTTAAAAAGAAGCATTACCAAATATTGTCTTATTTAACTGTAGGATTTTAATGTTACCCTGATTTTAAGCACATATCAAGATGTGACTCTGACAAACGCAACAGCTCGGCAGTATAAATGTTATCAGTCAGTGAAGTTATGTAAACACTGTCTGGGATTTTGGAATATTGTGATAAAGCTGGTGTGTTGTCAGTTCACTGATATATCCTAACGCACTTGACAGTTTTGTCTGTATGAAATGAATAGTGAATATTATACTATGATATCCAAACAACTGGTGATTATTGTTCATAATATTTATATGTATACTATGGGCTAAAGGTACAGTCAGCCTGTTTGTATAATAGGCATATATGACACAAAGCAGCCTGAATTCATTCAGCATTATTGCAAGATGCAAATATGTAGCATAATTTGAGGCAAATATCTGATTGATTTGAAAATGTGTCAGAAAGACAAAAGCAGAAGGAAGAGGGTCTGGAAGAAACAAATGAAATTCCTGACAGGTTTTGTAATTAGTCTGTCAGAGCTATGACACAACACATACTGTGTTTGTAGTTACAGCAAATGTCCATATGATATGGTGGTTTTCCATTGGTTGATAAAAGACACATATATGCTGTGTTTCCACTAACTGGAATCTAATGAATGGTACACCCTGTACTTCCCTTGACCATTACCAAGCACAGCGCCTGGGGTTGACGTGGACTGTCTTGCTTTGTTTTCCCACCATATTTTCTCTCTGTTGGTCTCTGGAGGAGGGAGGGTCTGCTCCCCTCTCTCTCTCACACACACACACACAGAGTCAGCTGTGTGTTTACCCATGGTGCTTTTAATGCTAATGCTTGAGGTGGGATGCATTTGACATTTAACCAATCACCAGTGACTGCTCTCTGCACATTGCCACCCCCCACCCCCCAGTCCTGGTACTTGATTTCAGTACTACCTTCCAGAGCGTATGACCTTTTGAGTTTCCTTTTTAAAGTATGTTAGGAATTCTATTATTGAGCTCGCCATGTAAATAAAGTTTGACTTAACTTGCAGTGAATCCACAATAATAATAGAATAAGCTTGTTAGTATGTCCTGTCACTCCAGTCTTCCTGTGTTTTCACATTTTATGTTACTCCATAAGAATAAGTGTGTAGAGGAGAGTTATTCACTTGAACCTGACACATTAAATCCTCCAGGAGATGGGAGGTTACATCATCGTAATGTAACGCCATCAAAATGGCTAAAAGCTCTGGTAATGGATTTAGCCTGTTGTCATACACTACCGTTCACTATCCTGGTAAAGGTCCAACTTATTTTGGTAATTTCCTTTTTGCAAATAATGCTCAGTGCATTGTAGTGTAGAATATTTCTGTCCGGACCCGACAAGCTTATAATATACTGTACAATGCCTGAATCTGACCCAAGTCTGACGCAGTTGAGTTTGTATGGTGTTTTTCTCCTTATCATCAAGCAAAGCGGACATTTGAGTGCTCCAGCCAGCTATCCTAAAGTTTGACCTAACTGAGCTGGACCCGAACATAATTTCTAAATTTCTGTCACAGCCCAGCACAAATTCTTGGGTACTGACGGATCTTGTCAGGCTCAGTCCTGGTATCCACACACTAGCGTGTAGATGCACAGTCTTTTCCAACACTGCCTTGTACAGCTTTGTTGTTGTAAGTAATCAACAGAGGTTGGGACACCTGTAGGAGCGATTTGCATAAATTAATTCCACTACTGCAGAAAGGATGCAGATTAACCTATGACTTGATCCATGTTTTACATGAAATTACCATACATTTTTAATATTTTGACTTTTTTTTGTTTTGTTTTTACCACTGGCAGTTTACTTCTTAGCTTGGTAAGGTTATTCACTGAACTTGAACTGCTTAAATATCAAAATAAAAAGTGGAAAAACTGAGGTGACCCCAAACCTTTGAATAGTAGAGTATGTACTTGTATGTGGATTTTTTTTTGTTTGTTTGTTTTTTTGCCCAATCAATTTTGGGCCACATGATGAACTGGTGTGAAGCCAGTCAACATGCAAACATGCAGCTTCAAGTTTAGTGACCTACTTGTTCAGTCATTAGAGAACAGAGTGTACAATGAAGACATTTGAGTGCAATCGATACAAAGTCTGGTCCTAGGTGTATTCATTTTAAGCTCTGTGGTTGTTTTTGGTACTTTCTCTAAAGAGCTATAGGGAAACCAATGTAGAAAACACAATAAGTTATTTCTCTTTCTCTGCAGTGTGATGTGTCCTCTTCTAATTAGAAATAGTGGAAAATTACTAGATAAATGGGAAGTGAGAGCGCAGGGGAATCTGACACTGGTTAGATGTTCTCTGGCATACTCATGTTCTATGGCAACCTATTTATTAATTTAATGTGATTCTAGCATGAAATTCAGATTTTCCTGGATATATAGGCACACTGTGAATCTTGAAGTGCACATTTATCACCAAAGCTGATAACAAAACATTTTCTTACATTTGTTTGTCTAAAAGCTGTTTGTTTGGGCCTGTTTTCTGTGGCAGCTTGCCTGCATCAGCAAAGATACCGATTCACTTTGTCTGTGCTCACTCTACCTTCATCTAAGGTGGTATCTTCCAGCTTCTGACTGACTAAACACACCTGACCCAGATAATGAGCAGTGGGTACGCCAGAGATAATTGGAAAATGAGCAGTGGCCCTTGAGGACTGGAATTGGCCACCCATGGTCTAGAGATTGCAGTAAATCTGGGTATTGTTTTGGGCTCAACATCGGTCATGTGGCGACATAAACCAGCTTCTTGTCCTTGAGATAGACCGTCATTAGCAGACACAGTACACCACTGTAACACAAAACGGGCTGAGGAGGTGTATGGTGAGGAAAGGAAAAACCACATAGGAGACAAAGTGGGCCCTCATGCAGTGAGGTGCAGGCCTTGTTGCATTTCACAGCATGTCTGCTAATGATTTGAGTTCCAAGGTTTGCATGTTATGAAAGTTTTTAGGGAACTAACTCTGCATTCTTGCGGGCGCCTAGTAAAAATCGTTGGCAAAGTTGGCCTAACCTCACTGGGCAGACACTGCCCTCAAACCCACATGCTGAACAAAATATAACTGCATAGCTGCTTCAAGAAAGATCTGGGCTATGTCTTGTTTTTATTATTATAGGATAGCTCAATTCTAGTCAGAATTCAATTTTACCCAAACAACCAGTTTCTTTCTTCCAAGTGTACTTGTGGGTTTACTTTGTATCACAGTTTATGTAAAAACCGTGAGGTGAAATTATAAGCCATGCTCATTCTGAAGGAGGTAACTGGGTTACACTGACAGATGAATAGCCTTTGAACTGAGGTAAAACAGAAAATAAAGATGAGCAATCATGACAACACCACCAGAGCAAGAGCGTTTCCTTTGTTTCGAGTCTTCCTGCATGTTGATTGGAGCCTGTGTATAATGGAAAGCTGTACTGAGTGTATGCTGTGAGGCTGGATCAAAGTTTCTGACCCTGGAATTAATTTCAAACTGTCCCAGGATCATGTCCATTAAGTCTGCAAGAGCAGCGAACATGTAAATTCAGGCTTTGACAACAAAACACATGACGTGCAGAGTCAATCTCTCTACTCAGTCCTACAGCCAATCATACAATTATTTGCCCAGTGGTATCTATTAATATAAAGTATTTTACATGGATGTTAAATGCACTATACCAATAAAACATGAAGTAAAATGTTTTCTGTCTTTTCTAGGTTAATTCTAGAAAGAGAGGGTCCACGTTCGCTCTTCAGAGGACTGGGACCCAACCTTGTAGGTGTGGCACCTTCCAGGTATGTACATATCTATCTACAGTACTCTGGGTGTGTTACATGTCTTCTCCTGCTTGCTTTAGCCTTTTTGGCCAGGGTGGCTTAAACAATGACAGATGTCTATACCGCTTATTCTGGTCATGGGGGTGCTGGAGCCAAGCTGAGCTGACATGGGGAGAGAGGCGGGATACACTCTGGACAGGTTGCCAGGCTATCACAGGGCTGACGCTTAGAGACGGACAACCACACACACCCACACTCCTGGGGGCAATTTAGAGTAGTCAGTCAACCTAAGCTGCATGCCTTTGGACTGCGGGAGGAAGCTGGAGTACCCGGAGAGAACCTACGCAGGCACAAGGAGAACATGCAGACTCTGCGCAGAAAAACCCCAGGGCAGCTGGGGCTTGAACCTGGAATCTGTGAGGCAACAGCGCTGACCACTGTGCCACCGTGCAAGTCACAAACAAATAGATGAATGAGGTTTAAATCACAGAATTGCAAAGGGGGTCTGCTTCAAATCCCTGTGGAAATGAGCAGGTTTCCTTTTTCTTAGCTTAGCTGCTTCAGGTTGTATAACAGCCTGGAGTCAGCCGAACAAAATCTGAATGAAACGGCTGCAACAACAAGCATCAGCCAGCTGTGATCTTCTTGTCACATGACTACTGTTGTGTATGATCACAATGGAGTTCCTGTACTTAGATGGTTTGTCTAATCCCCTGATCTGTCTAGTTCTTCATAGATAGTGCAGCATCACATGGCTATTGTCATCCTCTTCCCGTTGGCTTGCTGTGGTCTCTGTCTCTCTGAGTCATCCTCTCCACGGCCATGTCATGCTGTCTCTCCTCTCTCTCTCTCTCTCCTGCCGTATTTGTCATTTGTTGCCTCTATTAATTCAGAAGCATTCTTTCCTCTGGGTCCCTTATTGGGAACACGAACTGCTGTTTTATGTAGTACTTGAACCCTAATGTTTTCCTGTATTCCCTTTTTTAAAATTCTTTTTGCTGTCAAATTTAGATCAAATACTGTACTTTACTGTCCCACTATTTCACTGGAGTTGTATTGCACTTATATACAGCATATTTGTTACAATATAAAAAATGGAAGCCACCATTTTTCTGTGGTTCCACTGCTACATCATATACAACTGTTCCTGGTGCATTTTATCCAGACACTGGCGCTCAGACAGACATACAAATTTGTCCATGTTTTGACGGCAAAAAAAAAAAAAAACTAAATGAAAATCAGTATAACTGAATAAAATGTATTTTGATTCTGGAGTCGTTCAGCCAGACTCATCAATTCATTCTTCAGATGCAGTAAAATCTGCAACTGATGTGATTCTCCTAGGAACACATAAAAAAACAGACAATGGTGAAATTAGTATGAGGTATTGATCAACATTTTGCCATCAGTTTATTGTAAAAGCAGAGGAAGATTCTGCTTTTGAAGATGTATGGCAAAATAAGGTGCAGCATTTTCACTTCATTAGTCTATTTTAAGTAAAGGCTAGGTTTAAGATGCAGTATATTTAAATTAAGTAACAAATTTATTATTTTATTTTATTTCTCTCTGGGTTGCCTGGCTAGAAAGTTATTCTCTCCTATTATAATTAGGAAACAGGGCTTTGGCTCTGCAAACCAAAAAAATCAAAAAATCTCCTGATTCTAATGAGAGCGTGGTCCAGTGGGCATGCTGCTCGCTTTCCTTAATACCAGCAGCGTCACTTGTTATATTTGAGAGCTGCACATAAACATTTAGCCCCAGTCACACATTTTATCTGCAGAACAGCATCTATATTGTACACGAGGGCACATGTAGTTATACAGTTTGACAGTTTTTAATTCACAAGCTTTTTTTTTTAAACAGTGTCATTAAATACCTGAATGCACATGAAGAAGCTAATGAGGAGAAGCATTCTTTTCTTCATTACTAGTTAGAAGTATTAAATTTTTTTTTGGTCATCTTAACCAGTGCCTTTATTTCCTACTGTCTTCAGTATTATTAAGTTCTGTTGCTTTTTGCCACAGGGCAATCTATTTTGCGGCTTATTCAACAGCCAAGGAGAAGCTGAATGGCGTGCTGGAGCCAGACTCGACCCAGGTGCACATGGTGTCGTCTGGGATGGCAGGTAATGATGGCTCCTTTCCCCGCCCCCCCTCCCTTCTGTGTGGG